AAAACCCTCTAAACTAAATCGAGATGTTATGAAATATAGATAAGAATACGTATTAATGATCAACATTCTTTCTAAATCCGTTTTTGATCAAGAGTCAATTGAGTAAATTAGTTGTTAATGTAAAAATAAAAATAAAAAAATATTACTAATGATACTAACCTTGTCTTCAGTAAATTTTAGGTTGAAGAAATGATCTGTCAATAACATGTATGAATATCATTGTCACAGAAAAAATGCATTGATTGAAAATTTGCCACAAAAGGTGATAGCCTCCTTCGTTTCCTCATCTTCAAAGTAAATGACTAAGTTTTTTTTAACATTTGGTTTTTGATGATCATTATACCAACCCATCTATTCCCAGTTTAACCGAGGTTTAAATGGTTGGTATAGCAAATAATGATAAGTTCCAAACATATAAAAGAACAAAATACGCAGAAATGATAACCATTTATGTAACTAGCACAAACATACAAAACTAACCTAAATATTCTCCCTTTTCGATTAAGCTCAAAGGACATAACTCCTACCACGTAAATAAAAGGTAAGCGAAAAAACAAATACTATAAGGATATATAGAAAAATAAAAATTTGAAGTAACTTAGACATCCCTAAAAATATTTTAGGTTGTTCTTTAAAAAGAATGCCAGAACACATTGCATGAAGGAACTTGTATGATGGGATGGATTTCTATATGATGGGAAAACATTACAATAAATATATGAAAAGAAGGAAGCAAATTTGAGAAGCAACGGAAGCTAAAATATTCACAGTTCAGATTGCCCTCATTATCACGCATATTATCTATGACACGATTAAAGACAATTCGTAATACAATTCCCTATAATATTTAGAGTTTAGAAACGAATGGAAATTATAAATCAAATAAAGTTATAAAACTTATCTAAGTTTTGCCATTTGTGAATGAGGAAACATTGCCCACATATATATGTGGTTATTTCTTTTTTCGAATCTAAAGTATAAAAAGCAGATTAGTTTAAATGATAAACGAATTATGATTATAATGTAATAAAAAATGGCAACCTTCTTTATGTTGACCAATTGTTTCAACAAGATCTAATGACTGATCCCCTTTGATAAAATCAACTTGTGCATCAATGCTAGCCAAAAGGGCATCCTCGACTTCAGCAATAAGATCACCTATTATATGCCTTTTACTCTGAGGCTTTATCATTTGATACCCTTTCCTTGATAATAAAGAAAACTATAAGATAATGTCTTCAATAACAAAATATTAAACAAATTGGCGGTAATAAAATCTAAAAAAAAACCTACAATAATCCACCCGAATTTCATAAAACTATTATAGCAAAACATATAAGGGACATGACAAAAATCAGGTGATTTTTTAGGGGGGAGGAGGGTAAAAAATTTAAAATTATATATAAAGACCTGATTAAAATATATAATAAGAGGAGGGAGGGGGTAAGCTTCTGATAAAAAAAAATCAGGTGATAAATGACATTGCCCTAAAATAATTTAAACTCTGAAGTGAAATTATAATCTTGGCTTGCATTACATTGTAAAGAAAGAAAGTTAGTAGCTAGTAGGGTTCTGCAATTTGATTTTATTTGATTTGATTAAATATTTGATGCCAAATCAAATTCAAATACAGAAATTCAAATCAAATCAAATTTAAATTAACAAAATATTTGATTTGTTTGATATATTTGATTTAATTTTAGATAACTATTTTTTTTTTATTTAATTAGGGTTATTTTGATTAGAAGAAAATTTTTTGTTTAATATATAAAATTGATTAGCTTAGTAAAATTTTGTATAAATTGAAAATTTTAAAAAATAATAAAATTTTAAAAAATAATAAAATTTTAAAAAATAATAAAATTTTAAAAAATAATAAAATTTTATAATTTTTAAAATTTTTAAATATAATTTGATTTGATCTAATTTAATCAAATTAAATTTAAATCAAGGTTGATTAATTTCAAATCAAGGTTAATTTGATTTGGTTAATTTTTTAACTCATATTTCAAAAAACTTCTTCAGAACTATGATGAAAAATAATTTCTGTAGTATGTTCAGAAATTTTTTTTTTTTTTTTTTTTATGTTTAAAGGCCGGGTACTATGGCTGATTTTTTATTATGAGTCAACATGAGCGAGGATACAACTAGCCATACGTGCACTTTTGGTGCCTAATTTAAGTAGTCTGCCCAAAGGTTCTACACTAGCTGCCATACCTACAACCCAACTATAGGAATTGCCTATTTAAACCCTCTGACTTACAATCCTCCTATTACTAACCCGATTCACTATGTATTGCAGATATAATGGGCCCAACCCTTTTATTACGACGGCTTAAAGGCTACTTTACCCTTATACCAACTGCTTACCGAACAACTTTCCATGTCTCAAACATGTAATTATTGCCGAATTTAGTAACCGAAGCTACCTGCCCTTATTAGGTTCATTCCGATTATAGTACCAGCCTTCTTTTTGGCCTATACCATATAGACCGATTTTACTACCTCCTAACTCGGGACTTGCCAAATGGGTTCTTGTAGGTTTTTTCTGGTTTTTTGGATTTGCAATGTATTACTGCATCATTGCATCCGTAGGCTCCTATTCGAGATGATGAAACCAGGATTACAGGTTTTACACTCAACTGATCAGAAGCCACAATTACTGAACACAGATTTAACTCCAAAACATTACCAGTGGGATTCGAACTGTCAATCTGCTAATTGGAGGGTGACACCTTGACTACTTCTCTAAAGCGCTACACCCTTTGTTTAGAAATTTCATCCTTTCATTTTCCTTTGAATTCAATTATATAATCAATTCTTCTAATAAATTATCCAAAGTCACATTGTATAATACCTTCTGATTGTTGATTTTCAAAATTATAGGCTTCACTAAGAGGTTTTTAAGCTGTTATAATTATAAATTTAGATATAAAAGGTATAAATTTTTTATGCTTTTGTTCAACAACCTCTACAGTATCATTACATAAAGTAATTAAATTATTTCAATCGATTTTTGTATAAAATTTATCTAAAGGAACAAACTCTTAACCATTATAATTATTTTACTAGTTATTTTTTGTTTTTTGGATCTCTAAATAACTCTTCAAATAAACCAGATTTTTCAGATCTGCCAACTCTATAAAAATAAAATACAATCAAATATCTAAAAAATTAAAAAAATATTAATAAAAATACATAAAAAAAATTTACAAAATTAAATTTTCATTTGTATATAAAAAATACCAAAATCTTTCTTTTTCTTTTTGGTTTTCTTTTTATAAATCATTATAAATTCTAGTCATTGTTTCATAGCTTCTGCAATATAAAATTTTATTTTTATTTTCTCTAAAAATTTTAAAAGATATTTTTCCTTCATTTAACATTTTGTTTCTATCTATTGTTCTTTGATGTTTTTCAGCTTTCAACTATTTTATATCTTTTTTTTTTATTTTGATATTTTGTATAACTCTTTTCTATTTCTCTAAATTTACTAAATTTAAAAAGACCAACAATTTCTTTAGGTTAAGTACCTCTACTCCATGTTGTAACCTTTCTTTTAAAAGTTATATCACATTTATTACATCAATAATTAATATCAAAAAATCACAGCAACAATCTAAATGTTTTTATAACAATTATATATTGCTTTAATATATAAAACCTATTTTGTATTAAAGTGTCTTTTAATTCTTTTTAAAATATTAATGAATTATCTTCTTTAAATATTTCTTTAACACTTTTAAAAGTTTGTCACTTATTTGAATAAAATTATAAATATATTTGAGCATGTAATTTTTTATTATTAGTTGGCTCAAATTTTCAAACAATATAAGAAACTTTATCTTTAATTTTTTCATTTTTTTTTTTTTTTTTTTTTTTTTTTTTTTTTTTTGCAAATGCCATAGTTGAAACTTTATTTAATAAAATAGAATAAAA